TTGAGAGGGGGGAGAGCTGCTCCCAGGCTCCTGCCGCAGCAAGCCAAGGGGCAAACAATGTCCTGGCACCTTCCACGCAGTTGGGAGCACAAAGAGGGGCTCAGAGGTCTCCCCACACGCTGCCCAAGGAGACAGCGCAGGAGCGGGTCCTGCAGCACACGGGTGTGTGACAGCTGGCAGTGGGCATGCCCACTGGTGAAAACACAGGCAACCCAGCGAGGGGGGTCCACACATCCCCAGCAGCACTCCCCCGAGCCCTGTGCCAGTGCCCCAGCCGAGCACAGCCCCAAGCCGCACCGTCCCAGTCCCTTCCGAGAGGGCTGTGGGAGCAGGGATGTGCAAAAGGTGCCCAGGCAGCTGCTGCACCCTAACAGCCCCATTACCACACCTCCCACCCGACAGTGGGGGCTGCAGCCGCAGCCCACCTGCACCAAGGTATGCGTGTGGCAGGCGCTAACCCTTGTCACACAGACTGTCACACAGTCACAGATGCGGAGGGGTGCCTCCCATCCCGGGCTCAAACCATAATCTCCCCTGGGAGCAGCTGGCCCCACTGGCACCTCTGTCATCTTCCACCCACCCGTCTCTTTGTGCCCAAAGGCTTGTGACTGGGGCACAGCAACCACGGTGGCACGGCAGCAAACCGGGAGCACATCTGCAAACCAGCCCCTGCTCCACCTTGACCCTGGGTTGTCCCTGCCAGCCAGGACAAATGCACAACCCTTGGAGCCCCAACCAGGAACCCCAATGCTCCGTGCACCTCGCCTTGCCAGCAGCTCTCTTGCCAATCAGAGAGCTACATCAGCCCTTAATTTCTGCAGCAGCTTGGCGTGCCATCTCAAGGCGACCCAGAGGGTCGGGGCAGCACCAGCAGGGACAGCAAAGCCGTGGGGCGCAGAGCGGAGCACCCCAGGGTGAGGGGGAGGCAGAGCGGGGCTGAGCTGCCCAGGAGCACGGAGCAGTCGCACCGGCAGAGGCAGGGCAGGATGTAACCCTGGCTATTTTCTACTGTCCTGCACTTCTGACGAACACACAATCGCTTAGGTGTCAAGAGATTTACTTGACGCCATTTGGAGCTTCGTCTTCACCTTTGGCCAAAGGGGTCCAAAAAAACCCAAACCTCAAATTAAAATGGGGAGGAACAAAGAGCATCAGTGTCTCTGTCCCACAGGAGAAGATGCAAACCAGAAGTGACCTGCAAAAGTCCCCCACGGAGCCCCTCTGCTCAGGGAAAAGAGCTGTTCCGAGGACACCTGTGGGGCTACAGCCACTGGTCTGTTCCTTCTGGTGGGCAGAGGTGGAGGAGCCAGGGGTCCTTCCATTCGCCCCAGGTGAAGGTGGTCCCCAGCAAGGAGCTGTGTGACCAGCTCATGGCTCAGCCTCCAGGGCCACCAGCTCTCCTTGCTCTGCTTGTCCAGGTGATGATGGAGCAAGCAACCAGGCAGACATGGCTTGGAAGGGGAGGATGAAGGAAGGTGCAGGGTAGCCTCCCACCTCAGCCATCATCCTCCAGGCAGGTTCTTCTGCCTGCTCCCCACAGCACCGCCCCAGCCCAGGGTCTCCCCTCCACCAGCCATGTGCCCCCCAGCCTTGCCTCCACAGCCTCTCGCATTGCCT